CATTTGTCCAAGCCAAACTCCATTGCAATATCTTGGCTATATATACGGACAGTGTTGATATTATTATTATTATTATTATTATTATTATTATTATTATTATTATTATTATTATTATTATTATTATTATTATTATTATTATGGAAGGAAGGAAGGAAGGAAGGAAGGAAGGAAGGAAGGAAGGAAGGAAGGAAGGAAGGAAGGAAGGAAGGAAGGAAGGAAGGCCCACCTGAGTTTTACCCTCTTTCCTATTACATGGGCTGGAAGAGGCACACAGAACAGATCTGCTCAGTTTTAGCTCATTAAAAACATGAAAAACAAAAACATAATTTCACTTAAAAAATGTCCTGCATTATTTTTATAAATAACTCAAGATGGCACACATACCTAATTCTCCTTCCCTTATTTTCCCCAAAGTAACAATCCTGTGAGGTAAGTTGGGCTGAGAGAGAATATAACTGGCCCAACAACACCCAGATGGCCTAAAGTGGGACTAGAACTCCAAAGAGGTCTTCCTGCCACAGAGCACAGTAATCAGGTAGAATCAAGGTGTTTGCCTACAGAGCATGCAATCTGGAAATCACCGCTTGCATCAGCTCAAGTGAGAAAACCCTATTTTTGCCTTAAAAGTTGCCTTCCTGGTGGGCGGTTGGTGGTGAGAAGACAATGTCATGTATTCTGCCTTCAAGTAATGCTAAATGGCTGTACACATACTGGAGCAGGTTGGTCATGTCCATCAACTTCCATTAGTCTTTTAAAATCCTTCTTTCACAGTTCGTAGTTCAGAGGAATCTATCATACGTAACTCCATGTATAGATATCTAGCTTTTAGTGTTCCACATTCAAGGAAGTTTGGAAAGTTGAATTGCCACTTTCTATAATAGAATTCAGAACATGCCTTCCGGTACAATGAAAGCCTCTATACAATCATATTTCAACATCATAATAATGTGGTTTTAATAATATGTGAACAAGCCTACCTACTTCCTGGGCTTATGCATTCCATCTTTTCCTCCTATGTGATCCATAGAAGGTATCTGGAAGCTATTATTTCCTCAGGCTTATAACAGATCATCTTTAAATTGTGGTTTGGTTTTATAAAAAGTAACTGCAATTTATAAATCTGATGATCTGGGTCGCAATGGTTAACAAAAAGCAGAAGGAAACATACCAAAATGATTCCTCCTAGATGGGCAGAAACAGGGAGAATGGAAACCTGCAAACTAAGTGGAGTGTGCACAGGACAGATTCACAAGGCTGTTCAATAGCTAAACAAAGCCAATATCCCTCCCCTTAAAAATTATTAATTTCCAATATTTATGGGCTACCATAATATAAAACTCTAGATGTTCACCAGATATAAAAATACTTGTAGTTGTAATTATACTTATGCTAATACTAACCAAGTTCACATTTCCAGGCCTTATCATGATTTTTCCTCATGTAGTATTCTATATTCATATTTCATTCTCATTTTTATCTTTTTTCTGCATTAGCACTGTAAATTTATGATAAGGCATTTATTTATTATTATGCTACCAAGCAGCATAAAACTCTAGGGAGACAGATTAATGTCCTCCTACGATACAGTGCAGCATAAAGAAGCAAAAGATTTTTCAGCCAAATGGCCACATAAAAACTAATTTCTTGAATCCTATCCCAGTCCTCTTAACATTTCCTTAAAATAGCTCACCATTCCATCTCAATAAACTCTTTTAGATTTCCAGGCCAAGTATAGTAACCAAAATAAGTAACCCAACTAATCAAAGTTGGGTGCTGGTATCTAATTTGTACATTAAAATGTTTAGACAGCTGTTATGTCAGTTATTTGTATACCCCCACAACCTCATGCATCTGTGGGGTAAGAAAGAAACCTATCATTACACTGTCACAAATGGGAGAACCTTAATTTAGGGGAAAGAAAAGTGCATAGGAAATGAAATTAGAAAAGAGCTCATGTTAACATACTGTAAATTCAAAGCATTAATTGAAGCCTTCATGACTTGGAAAACTTTACAATGCATGAAGTCCCAGGGCATCCTGCCCAAAGTCTACTCTTCTCTATAAAAAAAAAACTGTGCCAGCTCCAATCCAATCATTCTGGGTTTATTTTACTGTATGGAAAGATCTGTATACAAAGGAATCCCAGTCCAGGTGAAAAATGCTGCAGGGAAGATTTATGTAATAACAGAAAAAGTAGGCAAACAAGCTAGGGATAGAACCATCACTGGTGTAGGTGGCGTAAATGAATTTAATGACTGAAATAATTATTTAAATTGGTTCAAACATTTATTTGCAATACTCAGGATATTTATGGCAGGACATAACAAATTTGTGAGAAAATATTTTCAAAATGTTCATTTGAACATGCACTGGAATATTGTTTAAATGTGCACTGTCGTGGAAAATATTTTTTAACACTGCAGATTAAAGCAAAAAAACAACAACACAGAACAAATATGCAAATAAGGTTCCCCTGATCTTTTATTCGTACATCAACCATCTTGTGATAAAAATGAGTAATTTAGAGGATTATCTCTCAAAATTAGCTAATGGGCATTTTGCAGATGACATAGTGACAATATCAATTGGACTAAAATGAACTCTGAGGACTTAGATGCTTACTATTCTGAAGAAGAACTTGAGATCAACTGTAATAAAAACAAAATCTTAATTTCTGCAAAGTGATCTAGACAACATATCTATTGGTTACAGAAAATACAGTTCTTTAAACATTTGGCCATGGTCTTTCATCAATTTATACCAAATGCAGTATAATTATAGTTATACTATTTTCCACTTCACCAGAATGGTACAGCATAGACCAACAGCATTAAAGATTTATTTGGCTATTGCTGTACCATATATACTGCATACAGCTTCTGTTTGATGTCAGTTGGGGCCATCCTCTAGAAAGAATTGAGTCCACCTTTTTTAGGGCTATATTTCAAATATGTGACTAACATGGGGCAAAGGATGGAGACAGGTTTGAAGTACAGATGGGCACATTGCTTGTACTGCTGCCCATAGGTTAAAGTTACTGTATTTTTCAGAA